TTATTCTTAGCCCGGTCACTAAATAATTCCCTAAGATGCCAATCTTTTAGAAACTTCACCATCTCTTCACGCAGGTGCTTGAAGTCCCTAGTCTTATGAACATGTGTTTCATGAAATTCACACCATAAGCGAGCATCTTTTTGATTAAGGTACGGCCGAATTGATTTTAGGAACCTTGCTTCTTTATATTTCTTATGGCAGAATCCAGCTCCACCAGGCCAATATTGAAACTGTAAGCAGACAACTTGGGATGACTTGAAATCCGAGACCTAGATAGCTCTTTATCTTTCACTTCTGCTACTTCGACCACGATCAATTATCCTATATGAACCAGGTCTTTCTATCAACTGATAACCCCTAATTCCATGTCCTTGCATAGTTCGAAAATATGATTTTTGGTTTGACGCATACAGTTAGAACTGACATCTAGAGGACCTCCGATCTGTGTCTAGGTTATTTCTTGACCTTTCTAGGTTCTGATCACGGTTATGAACTACCAGAGAACTCAATTGTTGGTCTTTTATTCTAACGTTTGATTCATAATGCTTATGAACATCAGCCCATGTGGTTTCCTGAAATTTCAATAAGCTTTCCTCCAACTTCATTAAGGCATCAAAGCTTAAGGGATTAAGGACCTTCATAAATTCCTCTGCTGCCCCATTCATCTGGTACTGTCAGTAGCAATATTCATTCCTTTTGGAACTTGATCATGAACTCTCGAAGTAATTCTGAGTCTCCTTGAAGGAGGATGTCTGCTTTTTCACGGAGAAGTACTCCAGAGAATGGAGGAAAGGGGCCCCTAATCAAATGCAAGGAAGAAGAGTGGGTTCGTGCTTGAACTTGACCTTTAATAAAAGAATCTGCAAGAATTTTAAAAGAATTAATTGAGTGTTCATGCAAAATTCAGTACCATGTAAAATCCCTTTTCGTTAAGGTCTCTCCGAATTAGCAAAACTGATTTAATCTCGTGTAGAGCCAAATTATTTTACTATACAATAGTGGTGTACGTTGTAATGTACTCCGGCGGATCTATTGTTCTATTATATTTTGGAATATTCGATATCTTAAATCTCTTTGGAATAAAATCTGAAGTTGCGCTACCTTTAAACGGAATTTGTATACATTTCTTTGACTCCAGACCCTTTAGGACCAGAGACGCTCCTGGAATCTGGTCCATCCGAGCATGAAATTATTTAGTATTTTTATTAATTCGGGTATTTATCTCTCTCACGCACCGCATGAGTTCATCCCTGAAAGGATCATCGATGGTATTTTCATTCCCGGATCCATTAATTGTACCTCTAGCTCGGTAATTGTCTGATCTAAACTCCCCCCTTTAAGCTATATTACCAGTTTTCGGAACCGTTTGATTTATAGGCATACTAGGAGGGGCTCAAATTCCACCATTTGAGTTATTTGAAGTCGTTGTTATCGCTTGTTGAAGCTCAGTCATTATTTAGTCCTGGCTCGATAGATGGTTATTATTTTTCCTTTGTTGCACTCTCAAACTTTTCATGCTATCGACAACAAGCTCATCATCCAAATCATCAGGAGTGAAACTTCTTGCACGCCGAGTATTCCTTTCCATCCAACTTGGATTTGATTTGCTCCTATCATAATGAGTTTCACCGGTTGAATCATCTTGTTTACCAACTGCGTACATGATGTACATTGCCCATAGGCTCGTTATTGTTGTTCACACTAGCATTGAGCAAATTGTTGACATCATTGTGTGTCATAGCTAGAGTAAAAAATTAAAAGAAAGTTAGTAAAAAATGAGCAGATAAAAATAACACCACAATTGTCTAAGCCCCACGGTGCGCGCCAATCTGTTTACCAATAAAAATGTACATTTGAATTTGTATACGTGATTTTGATAGTAGGATAGAAACCCTTATTTTAGTTGTATTTTGCACTATAATTACTTTACTTTCCTCATGTTTGAGATTAAATGATGATGATTTGAACTTATTATGTGTTTTATACCTTGCAGAAAATGATTCCTAGTTAAAAAGATAAATTGGAGCTAAATCGAATAATTTTGAGCTTTGATGTCTGAGTAAAAGTCCAAGAATTAAAAACCGAATCGTGTTCGGGGGTTGAAGACTAAGTCTGGGTAACAAAAAATGAGAAAAATATATCACTCTTCGCGCCACATGGGGAGCAGTGAGGCGCGGCGCGGCAGTGCAAATGGGGCCTGATTGACAAGAATCGAGCTCTCTAAACTTCTCCATTATTGCGGCGCATGGGGCGCCATGCCCTGCGCTGCGCCTATGCAATTTTGTTAACGTGTTTTTTCTCTTCGGCTTGGAAAGGGTAGTTATGTCCGGACACGTTCCTACTTGGTTTAAATACACCAAATATATAATTTTGGGAGGACTTTATACCTACAACGGATTTAAGGAGCAACTAAGGCAAGGAGACACAAGATTTCATCAAGAATTCAACCAACAATCGGTGCAATAAGGGAGTTTGTATCGAATTATTAACGTTGATGTTTTCTATGTGTTTTAATCTTTTTGAGATGAATTTTTTTATTGCTATGGAGTATTTTTCTCTTAGGGTGTTGACAGACATGGTGTATTGATTATTTGATTTGGGATTCAATTCTTGACATTTGATTGACTAAATTGAGGGATTTTTGAATTGTATTGTAAAGTTATTCCTTGCTTAACTTAATCGAAAGAGGAGTTGATTCAAGCTCTAGTTTAATTTTGTGATTCACCTAGGTAATCAAAAGAGACTTTTTAATTATTAATCGAATTAGAAATAGGAAAATATTCGTGAGAAGTTACCCTTTAGACTAAAAGCATTATTATATTCATTGCAATTGTTCACCATGCTTCAATTAGATTATTTTTAGAAATTAACGTTTAATCAAACGAGGAACCTTAACTTCAAGTGTAATCCAATTATCTGGTGAATTTGTGAGAATCAATAGTATTATAGAGTGAACTAAGTTAAGAATTGGATTCCGAGTCAATTATCTTGCACCTGTCAATTCAATGACCCTTATCTCTCCAACTGATATTTCTGTGTTGCTCAACTCCTGTCTTCCGTAATCAATTGATAATTGTTATAATTTTAATAGTAAATTGTACTTCATAATCATTCCAATCAAGTGTTACTTTTTCTGGATAGCAATTAACTAGAGATTATTCGAACACTAATCCAATCCTTGTGAGATGATAATTAAACTATACTATCTTTGACTATCGAGCATTAATTTCGTGTTGTTTTTTGCACTCGACAAAATTTTGGAGCCGTTGCCGAGGATTGGCAATCAACATTGTTCAAAACAATTTTTGGTGCTAATTCAGGAACCAATTTAATTTTCTTGTTTTCACATTTTCTCACTTGTGTGCAGGAAATAGGTTTAACTTCTCTGGTGTATGACTCGGTCGTCTTCAAAGGAAGTGATATCTCACGATCCAGAATTGGAGAAACACTTGCGACAAATACAAAAAGAAACAGGATTCACCAAATATTTCTTGGGGCAATCTTTGACCCAAGAACACATGGCAAAAAATGGTGATGATGGAGTCGATTTGGCCGCAATGGAATCAACCCAACTAATAGAAGCAGTTGCACGGGCAGCTGTTGACGCAGCTTTGGGGATGATGAAACTGTTAATGGGGACGGTGGATGGAGAATCAACCTGAACCAACCTCTTGCGGAAAATACATTCGAGAATATGGGTCCCACGGCAAATAGATCATTGAGTGGCTATGCCTGATCAGTCTACAATTAGGGACTGTCAAGTGTCAAACCTCCACCTATAGTAACAACTAATTTTGAGTTGAAGAAAGGCTTGCTTCAAACCATCTAAAATAATTGTGTCTTTAGAGGAAGGTAAATGAAGATCCTAACACTCACTTGATGGACTTTGAGGAACTCATGAACATATTTCAGTACAATAAAGTGTCAAAAGATGCAGTCTACTTAAGGGCATTCACCTTTTCACTGAAGCACGATGTGAACCACTGGCTTTAAAGCCTACCAACATGGTCCATCATGACATGGGAAGATATGACGAAATATTTTCTTGACAAGTACTTCTCATCTGCAAAAACAGGAAAATTCAGAAGGAAAATCTATAACTTTTGCCAGAAGGACACTGAAATAGTCTTCGAAGCCTGGAAAAGATTCAAGAAAATAGTTAGAAGCTGTTAGAATAATGGAATCGAATTGTGGATGCAATTCTAGAATTTTTTGGATGGACTGACACCCTCCTTACAACGAACTCTGAATATGCAGTTGGAAGTCCATTAATGAAGAAAATCCCGGAGGAGATAGTCTCTATCCTTGATGAATTATCTGAGGATGCTAACCATTGGCCCTCTAAGAGTAATAAAAGAAGAAAAATAGCTGGGATTCACCAAGTGGACTCTAACACATTAGTGCAAGCCCAGCTATACACCATGGCCAAAGAGATAAGAAAAATGAACTTAGCCAAGGTGCAGAGTGAGCCACAAGAAGCATGTTACTTTTGTGGAATGGGACACCCTATTCATGAGTGTCAAACTTCAGCTGAGGAAGTTAATATTGTTGGAACTATAATAGAGGTAAATATCAAGGTGGAAACAACTTCAATACTATGGGACAAAGACATCTAGGTTTTTTATGGGGTTCACCTAGTGGGAGTTTAAACTCGTGGCAGAAAAATAATCCTAGAACCCAGGGTCAAGGACCTCCAGGTTTTTAGAACCAGCCGAGGAAGCAGTACCAGCAATACTAGCCCCAACAGTCAAATCAGTCTAGTAAGGAAGATCTCATGAAGGCTTGCATCAACAAGTCTGAAGAGAGGTTTGATACTCACAGTTCTGCTATTCCAAATCTAGAAAGGCAAGTGGCTCAAATTGTCAACATGTTATCTGAGAGGTCTCGTGGGACTCTACCTTCTGATACAGAAAAGAACCTGAAGGAAATAATAAAAGTTGTATCTCTGAGAAGTGGCAAAATATTGGTTGACCTAGTTGTGAAAAACTAGACCCAAAGTGATGAGCAAGCAGACTGATACACTGGAGGAGAAAAAGAGTGAAGAGCAGAAAGGCCAGAGTGGTAGGGTACAAAAGTAGATTGAAGAAAGCAAATACATAACAACTCTACCATTCCCTCAAAAAATAAAGCAGAAAAAATTATACAAGTGCTTTGGGCAGTTCTTGGAGATGCTCAAATATGTGAACTTTCCCTTCACAGAGGTTCTCACTCAGATGCTGCTTATGCTAAATTCTTGAAGAAAATCTTGTCCAGCAAGAGAAAGTTAGAGGAGACAACAATGGTCAAGTTGAATGCCCGTTGCAGTATCATATTGCAAAATAAAATTCCTCAAAAGCGTGGGGACCCAGGAAGCTTCACTATACCATGCTCGTTGGGAGTGAGAAATTCGACAAGACTCTGTGTGACTTTGGAGCTTCTATAAATCTAATGTTTTTGTCTGTGTTCAGAAAACTTAAAGGCGAGCTTGGAGTAATCAAATCCATACCAGTGTCCCTACAACTGGCTGACCAGACCACCATCTTACCTGAAGGAATCCTCAAAGATATTCTAGTATGGGTGGAAAAGTTTGTGTTTCCCGTAGAATTTATTGTGGTGGACATGGAAGTAAACAAGAAGGTGCCTCTAATTCTAAGGAAGCCTTTTCTATGTACAGGTAGAGCAATTCTTGATATCTACGATGGGCAGCTTAGGCTCAGAGTGAGTAACGAAGTGGTGTTTCAGATGAAGAGAATGATGAAATATCCTAATGATGAGGCATTTGCCTACTCGTGTTTTAAGCTTGATGTTGTTGGGAGTTGGTTGAAAAATATAAGTTTTACAAGCCTGTGGGGGATACTCTAGAGAGTTGTATTACTCAGTATAGCATAGTGGAGGATGAAGATCTTGAAATAAAGAAAGAGGTTGAAGCTCTTAAGACTGAGGATCAAGTGATTGATGAGGAGGAACTCAAAAAGGAGGCGTCTAAGCCTAGTGTGGAATTGAAAGTCCTCCCTACTCACTTGAAATATGTTTTTCCTGAAACTAATAATTTTTCTATGATTATTTCTGCTTAATTGACAAGAGAACAGAAATAAAAAATGGTGGAGATGCTGTGAAAGTACAAGAAGGCCATTTGTTGGACCATAGTTGAGATTCAAGAAATCAGTCCAGCCATTTGCATACACAAAATTTTGCTGAAAGAGAATAGCAAGTCAGTGGTAAAACCCCAACGCAAGTTGAATAAAAATCTCTCCTCTTTCATCTCTCTCTTCTCTCTCCCCTCCACATTTCCTTTCCCCTTCACCCTCTAACCCTCTAATCCCTAAATAACACAGTCAAGAACCCACTGTTGACCACCGCCGGCTTCTCCTTGCCTTTCCCCTATTCGCCACCACTTTTCTCTTTCTTTCCCCCTGTTTCTCTCTCCCCAAGGCACTACTACCGGCATCATATCCAGCAGTCCCTCCTGGCTTCCCAATACCGTCACTGTCGGCGCATAAATTTGGTGACATACCCAACAAGGAGGCGTTACAGCAGGCTTCAATAGCGGGCCCTACTGAAACAAAGTTTAGTGTGGGCGGAGGCAGCGGCTAGACATCTTCCAATACATTCCAGGTTCTGTATTTCTTTGTTTTTACATATTTTGATTTATTCTGTATCTTTTTGTCATCATATATTTTGATTATATTCTGTACCTTTCTTTCTCTTTATATAATTTGATTTATTTTGAATCTTTGTGTCATCATATATTTTGATTTTATTCTGGATCTTTCTCTGTTTATATCATTTGATTTATTTTTTATTGTTTCTTTGTCTTTGTCGTTTACAACGCATTCACTTGCATCAATTACTTGCTTTTTTGTAATTGTTTTCTACTAGTTCCTTAAGTTGAAAAATATATTATTTTAGTTAACTTGTTGCGTATTGTAGTAGTACTAGCTTAGTATCCCTTAGATTATTGTGGCTAGGGCGAGTGATGGTAGAGTGAAGTCATGTCCTTGGGTGGGGCAGGGGGCAGGGGCAAGGGTGGTAAGGGAACCGCTAGGTTGAGTATTGGGTCATGGAATATAGGTACATTGACGGGGAAGTCTTTAGAGTTAGGGAAGATTCTCCAGAAAAGAAAGATTAATATAGCGTGTGTCCATGAGACTAGATGGTTGGGTACTAGGGCACGGGAAGTTAACGGGTTTAAATTGTGGTATTCAAGAGGTGTTAGGGACAAGAACGGAGTAGGTATTTTACTTGATAGGGATCTCAGAGAGCTAGTGGTAGATGTTAGGAGAGGGAACGATAGGCTAATGACTATTAAGCTAGTAGTTGGTAGGTTCACTTTAAACGTGATTAGTGCATACGCGCCTTAAGCGGGCTTGGACAAGAAAGGCAAGAGGCACTTCTTGGAGAATTTGGACGAGGTGGTTCATGGTGTCCCGCTTACCGAGAAGCTTTTCATATGAGGTAATTTTAATGGCCATATTGGGGAGTCTGCTAGGGCCTATGACTATGTGCATGGCGGGTTCGACTTTAGAGATAGGAACGATGAGGGAATTTTATTATTGGAGTTCACTAAAGCTTTTGATTTGGTGATAGCTAACACGTGTATTTAGAAGAGGGAAGACCACTTGGTCACTTTTCGGAGTACGGTGGCCAAGACTTAGATTGATTACCTTCTCTGCAGGAAGTATGATAGAGGCATGTGCACTGATTGCAAGGTTATCCCGAGTAATTGTCTATCAACACAACATAGGCTCTTAGTAATGGACCTAGAGATAAAGAGAAAGAGGAAGAAGAGAATGGCATATGGTCAACCCAAGATCAAATGGAGAGCCTTGACTAAGGACAAAGCTCATGAGTTGGGGGAGAAGTTGGTGGCTATGGGGGCTTGTAGGAGTAGTGGGAACGCAAGTAGTATGTGGGCCACGACAGCGAATTATATTAGGGAAGCTGCTAGAGAGGTGTTAGGGGTCACGAATGGATACTCGGTAGGCCACAAAGGGGACTGGTGGTGGAATAAAAAAGTCTAAGAAAAAGTATAAGGCAAGAAAGCAGCATATCTGAAACTTGTAGAGAGCCCAGTCGAGGAGGAGAGGATGACGAATAGGGAGTGCTATAAGAAGGCTAAGAAAGAGGAAAGATTAGCGGTCATGACGGCTAAGACTACAGTATTTGGGCGCCTGTATGAGGAGTTGGGGAGTAAAGCCGGTGACAAGAGAATGTATAGGTTATCTAAGGTTAGAGAGAGGAAGGCTCGGGACTTAGATCAAGTGAGGTGTATTAAAGACTAGGATGGTAAGGTTTTGGTGGATGAGGCATCTATTAGGCTTAGGTGGCAGATATATTTCCATAAACTCTTGAACGAGGATGGGGACAGGAACATCGTGCTTGGGGAGTTGGAAAACTCGGAGAGCCAATGAGATTTTGGTTTTTGTGGGTGCTTTAAGGTGGATGAGGTTGAGGGGGTTGTGCGGATGATGAGTAGGGTTAAAGCGACTAAGCCGGATGAGATTCCGGTAGAATTTTGGAAGGATGCGGATCGGGCAGGATTGGAGTGGCTTACTGGATTGTTTAATGTCATATTTAGGACGCAAAAGATGCCCGATGAATGGAGGTGGAGCTTGATGGTCTAGGTGTACAAGAATAAAGGGGACCAGAATTGCAACAACTATAAGGGTATCAAGTTGTTGAGTCACACTATGAAAATTTGGGAGTGGGTGGTGGAGATGAGGGTAAGGAAAAATGTGTCTATTTCGGAGAACCAGTTCGGATTTATGCCAGGGTGGTCGACTACATAAGCCATTCATCTTGTGAGGAGACTGGTAGAGAAGTATAGGGAGAGGAAGAAAGACTTGCATATGGTATTTATTGACCTAGAAGAAGCCTACGACAAAGTCCCCAGGGAGGTTCTATAGAGATGTTTATAGGTTAGTAACATCCCGGTAGCGTACACTAAGGTGATTAGGGATATGTGTGATGGTGCTAAAACTCAGGTGAGGCCTATGGAAGAAGACTCGGAACTCTTAGCCCATTTTTACGGGACACATCCAAGGGGAGGTGCCATGGTATATGTTATTTGCAGATGATATAATACTGATTGTCGAGACACGCTACGGGGTTAACGCTAGGCTGCAAGTTTGGAGAATGACCCTGGAGTCTAAAGGTTTCAAGTTGAGTAGGACGAAAATAGAATACATGGAGTGCAAGTTCAGTGAGGGGACGCATGAAGCAGAAGTGGACGTGAAGCTTGTTACACAAGTCATTCCCAAGAGAAATAGTTTCAAGTACTTTGGGTCTATTATCCAAGGCAACAGAGAGATTGACGAGGATGTTACACATCATATTGGAGCGGGGTGGATGAAATAGAGGCTAGCATTTGGTGTTTTGTGTGATAAGAATATGCCACCAAGACTTAAGGGCAAGTCATACATAGTGGTAGTTAGACCGATTATGTTGTATGGAGCTGAGTGTTGGCCAGTCAAGAAATTCCATGTCCAGAAAATGAGAGTAGCAGAAATGAGGATGTTGAGATGGATGTGTGGGCATACCAAGAAAGATAAGATTAGGAATGAAATTATTAGGGACAAGGTGGGAGTGGCCCCTGTGGAAGACAAATTGTGGGAATCGAGGTTGAAATGGTTCAGGCACGTGATGAGGAGAGACAGCGATGCCCCGCTAAAAGGTGAGAGGTTGACCATAGAAGGTCTGAGGAAGGGTAGAGGCAGGCCAAAGAAGTATTTGGGAGAGGTGATTAGGCAGAACATGGCATTGCTTCAGCTTACTGAGGACATGACCCTTGATAGGAAGGTGTGAAGGTCGAGAATTAGGATTGTAGATTGATAGGTAGTTAAGAGTTTCTCCTAATCGTACCAGTAGTATTAGTACTATTCTTATATTTTCGTGTTCCTAGATCGTTGTTATCCCATATTGTGTCATTCTTACCAGTTTTGTTAGTAGTATTCTTGTACTTCTTACTTTTAGATCTTTGTTGTTACACATAGTGTCTTTGTTTTTTCTTGTGTTGTTATTATTGGTTGCTTCATGTTTGTGTTTTTTATGCCGAGGGTCTATCGAAAATAGCCTCTCTACCCTCACAAGGTAGGGGTAAGTCCTGTGTACACACTACCCTCCTCAGACCCCACTTGTGGGATTACACTGGTTTTGTTGTTAATGTTCTTTTTGTTTTTGTTCACAAGGAGATTATCAAGTTGTTAGATACGGCAATGATTTTCCCCATCTCTGATAGCCAATGGATCCGTCCTGTGCAAGTGGTGCCTAAGAAGGGGCCATGATGGTGGTGAAGAATGAAGACAGTGAATTGATCCCAACAAGAACAGTCATAGGGTGGCGAATATGCATTGATTATAGAAGGATGAATGATGCAACAAGGAAACACCATTTTTCACTCCCATTTTATTGATCAGATGCTCGAGAAAGTGGTTGGACATGGTTGTTATTGTTTCTTGGATGGGTACTCAGGCTACAATTAGATACCCATTTCCCCAGAAGATATTGAGAAGACTACTTTTACTAGCCCTATAGGTATTTTTTTCTTACAGGAGGATGCCATTTGGGTCGTATAATGCACCAGCAACTTTTCAGAGGTGCATGATGTTTATCTTCTCAGATCTGAATGGGAAGTGCCTAAAGGTATTCATGGATGACTTTACTCTATTTGGTGATAATTTTGATGACTGCTTGAAAAACATAAAGCTTGTGCTTAAACATTGTGAAGCCACTCACCTGGTTCTTAACTGGGAGAAATGTCACTTTATGGTGAAAGAAGGAATCATTCTAGGCCACAAAGTGACTACGCATGGCATTGAAGTTGACAGAGCAAAGGTTTATGTAATTGCTAGACTCCATCCACCAACTTTTGTGAAGAGCATAAAGAGTTTCTTGGGATATGTTGGGTTCTATAGAAGGTTCATCAAAAACTTTTCCAGCATTACCAAGCCATTGACTGCATTGCTAGCGAAAGATGTCAAGTTTGTGTTCACTGTGGAGTGCCTAATGGAATTCCAATTAATTAAACAAAATTTGCTAGTGCCCTTATTATGTTGACGTCTGAATGGAGCCAGCC